CAGTCAGGCTGACACCTAAAATCAATCAGCACAGGCTGATCTGATCTCGGCCAGGTGCCCTCAGGCATCTGCGGTCACCTGCTGGGTCAGCTGCTGCTGGCTGGTAGAACCACCAATTTACAGGAAATGCAAAGGACAAACGACCATATTAAAAGAGACTAAGAGGAGACAGTAGCAAAACCTGAACTTTGGGAAACTACAGAACAATTTAAATTCTTTTTAAAAAGGAGTCAAGGGAATTAAAAGAGATATAGAAGAACCTAAAGATTGAGAGAATCACAAGAAATGTACCAACCGACTGTAAAGGCTGGACCTTTTTTGGAAGATGGTTCAAATAAACTGCAAATATTAAATTGTATAAAGTTTAAAAGGAAGAAAAATATAGTCCAGTTGGAGTGGCTCATGGCAATTATTCCAATACTTTGGGAGGCTGATGGGGGAGGATCACTTGGGCCCAGGAGTCTGAGGCTACTGTGAGCCATGATCATGCCACTGCATTCCAGCCTGGGCTACGGGCTGTTCTAAAATACGATCAGTGGGTGGAGTTACAGAGAGCAGCACACCAGCTTCCATCTCTGTACCACCACTTCCACGTCCCCCCCTCAGTATTTTCTTCAATCGGATTTAAACATGACTCGTTAAAGTCATGTCTGTTTCTTGTAGAACTTTGCAAAGTGTAGAACATTATTAAGAAGTGATGTTGAGAAGGAGTGGTGAATGAAACAGCTCTACCTCTCAGAGACAAAACCATATGGAATGTTAAAAAATCAAAAAGCATTTACCAAAAAATTAGCCAGGTGTGGTGGTGTACACCTGTAATCCCAGCTACTCAGGAGGCTGAGGCGTGAGAATCACTTGAATCTGGGAAATGGAGTTTGCAGTGAGCCGAGATTGGACCATCGCACTCCAGCCTGGGCAACAGAGCAAAACTCCGTCTCAAAAAAAAAAAAAAAAGAAAAAGAAAAAAGAAACATTTGGGAAATCCAGGTGAAGACTGCTATTCTTGCAGCCTTTCTGTGAGTTTGAAGCTATATCAAAACAAAACATGTTAAAATTATGTATTTTTGGATAGTATCAGCCTAAATAAGGAACAAAGAGAGGTTATATACAAGAAAAAGATACTGATTTTGGAATAAGGCATTGCAATGGGAGTAAGCTCTTTAACGGAAAAGACGAGGAGTGTTACATAATCGTTTTGAAATAATGATGCTTGGCTACAAAGATGAATAACATGGGTGATGCCAGTGCAGGGTGGCACAGGCAGCTGCCGGATGCATGTTCTTACTGAAGTACTTCTTGTGTAAGGTTGTGATGGCCTTTGTGCAAGGTTGTGGTTGTCAGGCCTGCACGTACAAGCCCGGACCCAGAAAGTCTGAAGTCCCGCCTGCCTCAGAGATCACCCCCCATCCCCCCCACCCCTCCCACCTCCCACCCCCCCACCTCCCCCTACCCCTCCCACCTCCCACCCCCGCACCTCCCCCTACCCCCCCATCTCCCACCCCCCCACCTGCAATCGCCATTATGCCATTATCCCTCATCGCCCAGAGGAGCTTCCCCCACATTGAGCTTTTCACCCCACTATGCCATCTTTTTTTTTTTTTTTTTGAGACGGAGTTTCGCTGGTTACCCAGGCTGGAGTGCAATGGCGCGATCATCTCCACTCACCGCAACCTCCGCCTCCTGGGTTCAGGCAATTCTCCTGCCTCAGCCTCCTGAGTAGCTGGGATTACAGGCACGCGCCACCGTGCCCAGCTAATTTTTTGTAGTTTTAGTAGAGACGGGGTTTCACCGTGTTGACCAGGATGGTCTGGATCCCTTCACCTTGTGATCCACCCGCCTCGGCCTCCCAAAGTGCTGGGATTACAGGCGTGAGCCACCGCGCCCGGCCCACTATGCCATCTTAATTGTTCTTATGATAATATGAATACTCCTCACCCCACCCTGCCATCTAAACTGTTCTTGCTCTGTGAATACCCCCCCACCCAGCCCACCCTACCATCTTAACTACTCTTAGCCTTACCCCACCCCCCATTGTAACTGAACTTATGGTAATGTATTCTCCTTGCCCCTACCGGCACCACTGTAACTGATCTTACTCTGTAACACCCCTGCCCCCTCCCCAAATGATTTGCCCCAACCTATAAAACCAACTCCTATCCCACTGCCTTTTGCTGATGCCCTTTTCGGCCTCGGCCCACCTGCACCCAGGTGAATAAACAGCCAGGTTGCTCACACAAAGCCTGTTTGGGTGGGGGGGTCTCTTCATTCAAAGCTCCTGTTTTAACAGTGGTTTGGCAGTCTTTTGTGACACTTTTTGTTATCAGGAATGCAAGCATGAAAACACTCTCTTTTTAAAATTGTACTTTAAGTTCTGGGGTACACATGCAGAACGTGCAGATTTGTTATATAGGCATACACGTGCCATGGTGGTTTGCTGCATCCACCATCAGCACGTCATCAAATTCGCTATTTCTCCTAATGCTATTCCTTCCCTGTACTCTTACAGTGTGGTATTCTTTTCATATGCTACAAGATACTTTAATTTTTTTGATTTCTTGGAGACAATCTCTCACTGTTACCCAGGCAGGAGTACAATGGCATGATAAGAGCTCATTGTAGCTTCAAACTCCTGGATTCAGGTGATCCTCCTGCCTGGGTCTCCCAAGTAGCTGGGACTACAGGCATGCATCATCATGCCCAGTTTTAAAAAAAAAAATTTGTACAGATGGGGGTCTCACTATGTTGTCCAAGCTGGTCTCAAGCTGCTAGGCTTAAGCGGTCTTCCCACCTCAGCCTCCCAAAGTGATGGGGTCACAAGACATGAGCCGCAGCTGCCAGGAACTCTTGTCCAGCAAGAGGATCCAACCTGAGTGGGGGGTGCACGGGAAGAAAAAGGAGACAGAACAGGCAGGGTCAGGAGAGTTGAGGAACAATGTTCCACCAACAACTTTATTCCACAGAGACTTCGATTATATACATTTTTCAGGTTCTGGTTTACGTCAGTGTAAGAGAAAAAACAGATCACTAATTCACATACTCTATACATAAGGATGGCAGACACACAATCGGTGGTCGTAAAAGGTAATGGTCATTCCTGGTGCTCATAAAAAACGTTTACATCAAGACATCGTTCCTTGTGACCGCAGGGTTTCCTGGTTCCCATCACCTGGTTATCTTTTAACAGGATTCTCCTTTTTCTGTTCCTGACTCAACTTTATCTCAACTTCCCTCTTTCAGGTGTCCCTGTGTCTGGGCTCCACCACCCATCTTGTGAAACTCACTTTGCAAGTATTCATATGTTGTATTGGACCGAGTGTAGAAAGTTATCACCAAGACAAAAGTATGCCAGATTGCAGGGTCATTTATTATGCCGGCGACCACAGAGGACTCACGTCTCTTCAAGCTGTGGTGCCAAAAGGAGGGTGCCATGATTTTTTATACCCGAAAAACCACCTTGGGAGTGGGGGTGAGGGGCGGGGATGGGGATGAAAAGGTTTCGGACATTCCAAGGGCTAGGGGATTCTGTGATTCACCTCCTGCGTGGAGACAAGGGCGGGGGTCTCCAGACATTCCAAGGGCCAGGGGACTTTTGTCATTCTGTTTGTTACTTCAGTGGTTTACAGAAGTCAAGATATACATTTGTTTACACATCGTCTGGGTGGTGATAGAAGTCACAGATTTTAGCAGTTACTGATAAGAAAAGGTAAGCAGCTTTACATAGTTTTGAAGAACAAACTAGCAGTTCTATTTACAGAGGCCAAGGACAGTAGTTATTGTGAGGAGAATGGGGCAGCCATTTCAACTTATCTAAAAACAGTTTTGCATTTTATAAAATAGTGTTGCTCAGGTTCTGGCTCTAGGCCAGCACAATATCACACATATATGGTTGGGTTCCCACACGCAGCACCCAGTGCAGTTAATATTTTATTTAGAATTTTTCCATTGATATTTATAAGTGAAAATGATCTGTCGTGTGCATGATATCTTTGTTGATTTTGGTGTCAAAATGTTTACTTTTTAAAAAGAATTTGGAACACTTCCATCTTTTTTATTTTCTGGGAGAGAATTAATAGCGTTTGAGTCAACTACTCATTTGTGTGGAATTTTGTTGCAGGACAAGGTGGGCTTTTGTAACTTTCCGGGGTGAAGGTGAAGGTGGAAGTGGGGGGTGGAAGCAAGGGCAGTTCTTGATCAACTTCTCTAGTTTTTCTATGGTAATGGTTTGCTTAAATTTTGTCTCTTCCAGGATCGATTTTGATAAATTGTATTTTCTTGTAACATCATTCATTCCATCCAGAGTTCTAAGTTTACTTGAAGTTAAGCAAAATTAGTATCTTACAGATCTACAATTTGTTTCCCCTGTCTGTGATTTTTCCCTGCTTATGTTTTTTAAATCATGTCAAATGTGCGTTTTTCTCTCTTTATTTCTGATTTGGTAACTATTTTATGAATTTTTGTGAACCTGTGGGTATATTAGTCCTTTGATACTGGCTTTCGGAATTCATTTATTTCTTCCTTTATCTTCACTAATTTCTTCCTCCAGCTTTCCTCCCGAAGCATCCACCTGTAGTGTTTGCAGCATCTTTAGCCTCTAGATATTCCTCTTTGCTGTTTGACTTCCTCTTTTTCCCAATAGAAGGAACACGTGTTTCAAGCTCAGGTGGTTTAAAGATTTTCAATTTAGCTTATTTATTTATTCTCCCCTGAGAGCACTAGAGAATTGTGTATCCTGCTGTCCATCCGCATCTGGCTTTTTCCCACGGGGTCTTTTCCCAGAAGCTGATGAGGGCGAAGGAACCCCGCGAGGGCAGGAAGAAAGTGACAGAGAGCCAGGAGGCCGAGGAAGGGAAAACCCCTTCCCGGAGTCGGCGCAGGCTCAAGGGGCGCAGAAACAAAGGCCACACCCCCCGCGGGCACGTGGCCAGACTGACCAATCGTCGCTGCGGAAGCCGGACTCTGGCCTCTGATTGGCGTTTGTGGAGACGCCCTCACAGTCTCGGATCGGCCCCAAGCGAGGCCGAGGCTCCGACGGTGGCCGGCAGGGCTCTCGAGGCTTCGGGGCGGAGGGTCCGGTTCGGCGCGTGGGACGCGGCCGCAGCTGTGCCGGGGAGTAGCGGAGCGGCGGGGACCCAAGGACATGGCGGCGGTCTCCGCGGTGTCGGCACTGCTGGCGGCGGCGGCGGCGGAGAGGAACCGGTGGCAGCGGCTCCCGAGCCTGCTCCTGCCGCCGAGGTGGGTGGAGGGGCCATGGCGCCGAGGGGGGCGCTTGCACCCGGGTGGGCGGCGGGACGGGGGGTCGCGGTGGGGAGGACGGAAGAAAGCCCCGCCGCTGGCGCGGGGTCCTGCGGGCAGTCTCGGCGTCGGGAGGACCCCCACGGCGGCCTCCGCGCACCTCGCCCGCGCGCGCCGCTCTGAGGAGGGGCCCGCCGTCCCCCGGGCGTCGCTCGCCGCCGCGGCAGCTCGTAGCCGTTTTCCTCGGCGTCCGCGGCGCCCCTTCGGTGGGAGCGTGGCGACCATCCCGCTCCAGGGAAGCCCCAGCGGATCCGCGGCTTGCTCAGCGGACAGCTGGTCAGGACGGGGGCCAGGATGCCCGCGAAGCCGTTTTCAGCTCGGCTGTGCCCCGCCGGGCGTCGGTCCTGGGAAGGACGCCTGCAGTTCCTTCGCGTGGTTGGAAGGAGCGACGTCGTCGGGAGGAGAGGGTTCCTTCCACCGAGCTGGGGAACCTCGCAGCCGGGGTCCAACAACGCTGTCGCGTGACTCCCTTTAGCTCACCTGCCTCCAGCTCTTGTTTCAAATCTTGAGCTCTGGCCTTTGGTGGCGGTAACTGGCAGCGAAAACACCCTCGGGCTCGTAGATAGCTTGCTGCTTTGTTGTCTTTGGGTTAATGGCTATCGTCATCCTCCGTCATTGTGGAAAGACAGTTTAGTGTTCAGGGGCACAGACTCTGCAGTCAAGGTTGAGGTCTTGTTAGCCACTCACCAGGTGTGTGACTTTGGATAAGTTGCTTAATGTTTCTTCTTTAATTTCCTCACCTTGGAGGAGATGATACTAGTACCTTGGGTTGTGAAAATTCAATGAATTAACGCATGGAAAGAGGTTTAAGCAGAATCTGGTACATAAAATCAACCTATAAATGCAAAATCAACCGTTTACATGAACATTTGGTTGCATTTATTTTCCAGAAATTATTGTAGATGGCCTTTTTAGTGACTTGTAGGGCTGCCCAGAGAAACATGAGAAAATTGGTTCTTTTGTTCCCCTGGTTTTTCTTTTCTTAGGTGTGCAGGGCTCTTCAGGATACAGACCCATTTTCTCCCTCTCTTCCCTTTCAAAGATTGGCTATTGTCTACAGAACTATTCTCAAGTATGTGTCACCCTGGAGAGTGTTAGAGTTGTTGATGGCTTATAAAAGTAAAACTCTGGGCCAGGAGAGTTCATTCATGCCTGTATTCTCAGAACTTTCCCAGCACTGTGAGATCCAATGTGGGTGGATTGCGTGAGTTCAAGACCAGCCTGGGCAACATAGTAAGACCTCATCTTTACAAAACATTAAAAAATTAGCCAGATGTAGTGGCACACACTTGTAGTCACAGCTACTTGGGACGATGAGGTGGGCGAGGATGAGGTGGGCGAGGATGGGGTGGGCGAGGGTGAGGTGGGCGAGGGTGAGGTGGGCGAGGATGGCTTGAGCCCAGGGGTTCCAGGCCACACACCACTGTACTCCATCCTGGGTGACATCCGAATCAAAAAAAAATCAGTACAGATAGTTTACATTATTTTTATGTTATGAATCTCTAGTAGCTCAAAGAAAATAATCTCTAGTGGCAGAATTATAGATATGACAATAAGCTGGTATGGAGCTACCTTGAATCTGGGAAGCAGCTTCTTAATCTTGTTTAAGCCATTGTTTTTACGCTTCAGCTTAGATAATTGTGAAAAATGGAATAGATGGATCATAACATTGTTGGGATAGAAGATTATAGTTAAGTGTGATCTCTCTCTCTCTCATTCTCCCTCTTTCTTTCTCTTTCCCTTCTGTCTTCAATAGAAGATTGCAAAAGAAAGCTTTACGTCAACAGTAGCTTGAAACTTAATCAGACTCTTAAGCTAGCTTTACCAAGAAGCAACCATTTAATAGATAACGTCTGCCAGAATAGGCCTTGAAACTTATCAGAAACCTGTCTGAAGAATGTGAAGGGCAAACAGTGCTAGACAATACCTCATAAAGATCAGGAAAAGTGATCCCCCTCCTGCAAGGTCGAGAAGGCAGGGCTGACTGAATTGGAAAGGAATGGGAGAGTGGCAGTCTCCTGAGGAAGCAGCTCATGGAACTCTCCTGCCAAAGCTGTGGGTCTTCCCAGCAGCCCCTCATGGATGGCAGCACCAGATTGTACATTGTAGGGGGATGAGTGTGTGACACATATAGATGTATAAATGTCTCCTGCATCTCAGTGCCAGTGAAATAAAGTATATACTGCTATCTAGTTACATAGATTCAAATGCACCGCTGTGCTTTTATCTTGTGCTTTGTGAATCTAAAACAGCTAGTTAGTCCTTTATAACTGTATCTTCCAGGTATAGACAAAAGGGTAGGTGGAATTGCTTCTGTGATTTGTTGGTTTCCCTGCCTATGCTCTTTTTTTTGTTTGTTTTTTTGAGACAGAGTCTTACTCTGTCGCCCAGGCTGGAGTGTGGTGGGGTGATCTTGGTTCACTGCAACCTCTGCCTCCCGAGTTCAAACGATTCTCCTGCCTCAGCCTCCCGAGTAGCTGGAATTATAGGTGCCCGCCATCATGCCCGGCTAATTTTTGTATTTTTAGTGGAGATGGGGTTTCACCGTGTTGGCCAGGCTGGTCTCGAACTCTTAACCTCAGGTCATTTGTCCGCCTCAGCCTCCCAAAGTGCTGGGATTATAGGCATTAGCCACCGTGCCCTGCCCACATAGGCTCTTTAGCTGATACTTCATAGACATTTTATTTCTTTGTTCCTAAAGTGAATCTGGACTGTTTCCTGTCAGCTTTTGGTTAATGCTTCAGTGTTACCTTATTATATAAACAGGTATCATGAAACTTAAAAAATTGTTGATACTTCTGCCTCAAGATGCTGTAAGTCATTTTCTCTCCCCATTTCTCTATTTTCTTTTAATACAAGGATTTGGAATAGAATTGTATAGTACTTTCAAATCTGAGAGGTCCCTTTAAGATTACCTCTTGCAGTCTCACCTCAGGTTGGAGAACACTGAGGCCCCAGATACCAAATCTTGCTTCCTCAACGGGGATGATACCGCCACCAAAGGGGTGGAAATGGATTCTTGGGAGGGCCAGAAAACCATGTTGTCATGGTTCACGGCCTTCCGAAGCTCAACCTCACCCCTCCCTTCCTACAAGGAATAAAATCTTTAAAAAATTTTCTTATTAGGAGGGTAATAATGGAAAAAAAAAAAAAAAAACAGTTTGAGGAACACTGATGTAAAGTGACTTGACGCTGGGCAAGCTGGCCATTGGAGGGACTTGGATGAGAACTTGGCGCTTCTGATCCCACAGCCAACATTCTTTCTGCTGCCTCTGTTTACCTTCTGTTTATTTCTTTGGTCTTACTTTTTACACGTCTGATGTTTAAACCTGATTAGTATTTTTCAAACTGTGGATTGACCAGCATATTTTAATAAAATAGGATAGAACTGAAAGTACCAAAAGGCAGAATGAGTCATTGTTAACAAAACGTCTGTTTTAATTGTGTGTGTCCTGGGTAGTTTGTATCGTGAGTTGTAGCCAAAATGGTTTCAAAAGGCTTAACTAGATGATCTTGATATACCTTGGTTGGTTAATCATCTCTGACCTTGTGGTCATATGCCAGCCTCAGGACCAAACAGATTGAGTGACATGCTGAAGGACAGGCAGTACAAGGGAAAACAGCCAGACCTCTAACTCTTGATTTCTAGGTTAGTTTTCTATCCACCAGGAAAGCTTTACTAAATCACTGTTATTTGGCTTAAGGTTTTGTGTTTTAAGAAACTTAAATTCTTTTAAAAGAATAATTGTGTTGCTTATTCTGTTTAATTACAATTCCATTTGGATTTATGTTATAGGACATGGATGTGGAGGCAAAGAACCATGAAGTACGCAACAACCACAGGTACTGAGCGGCTTTGTTCTGCCTGATTGTGCTTCAGATTGTGAACTAAGAAAGGGAACTGTTTAATCCCTTAATATGTGCGTAATAGAATTAGTTATAAATTTTGGATTTTCATGATGATTTTTAGAAAGTGTTAAGTCGTAGTTTTCACCTCTTTTTTATCAAATCTCTCTTGATGTTGAGCCTAAAATACAGAGCGCAGCCAGGCCGGTGTCTCACGCCCATAATCCCAGCACTTTGAGAGACTGAGGCAGTCAGATCAACTGAGGTCAGGAGTTCTCAACCAGCCTGGCCAACATGGTGAAACCCTGTCTCTATTAAAAACTACAAAAATTAGCTGGACATGGTGGTGGTTGCCTGTAATCCCAGCTACTTGGGAGGCTGTGGCAGTAGAATCTCTTGAACCCAAGCAGTGGAGGTTGCAGTGAGCTGAGATTGTGCCACTCACTCCAACCTGGGCGACAAAGTGAGACTCTGTCTGAAAAAAAAACTAAAAAATAAATAAAATGGCCGGGCGTGGTGGCTCATGCCTCTAATCTCAGCACTTTGGGAGGCCGAGGCGGGTGGATCACCTGAGATCAGGAGTTCAAGACCAGCCTGGCCAACATGGTGAAACCCTGTCTTTATATAAAAAAAAAATTTAAAAATAAAATAAATAAGTAAAATACAGAGAGCAATAATGGAGAAGATTTTATATTCGTGTTGTTCTGTCTGTTTGACCCTCTTAGTGTATTGGATTGGAAAATCCTAACTACGATGGTCAAAATCAGTGCTTTGAAAAAGCTATTTTAAGTAGCAAAACGCTTTTTTTCCACATAAAATTGAACATGGAATTCCCAACTATAAAACATATAAAAGTGTAATAAAGTACAACTTCCAGTTGATTGGGTATAACCCTCTACCTACCTGCTCTCCTCCCCTGCCCATACACATACATAGTCATCCAGCAGCCCCTGTGACAAGTCTTGGGCTCTATGGAGCCCCATGGAAAGACACTTAAATAATGTGCAACCTTATTGTTTTTTAAATAAGAGATAACTTTATTATGTTGAGCCTATGGATTATATTGAAGAAATAACTTTATTATGAACCGTCGAAGAACATTTATTTCATATGTGATATTAGAAGTACATTTTATATATGTATATGTTAGAAGTACATTTCATAAATTAGCCGGGTGTGGTGGCACACGCCTGTAATCCCAGCTACTTAGGAGGCTGAGACAGTAGAATCGCTTGAACCCAGATGGTGGAGGTTGCAGTGAGCCAAGATCACGCCACTGCACTCCAGCCCAGGTGACAGGATTCCGTCTCGAGGAAAAAAAAACCATTTTCTATACACAGTAGCTTGTCATTATGGTGGCAATGCCAGTAGGCTGGTGTAAGAGTCACTTGTGTTGCAAGAGAACCACACACCCCTGTGTACATAGGGGTAGAGGCAGAGGAACAGAGTGACGCAGAGCTAGGTTCAAATCCTGTATTCTTCCTTTAGCTCTGTAATTTTGGGCATAATAATAGCTTGAGCATTGGTTTCTTCATCTTTGAAATTGAGGTAACAATGGTAGTATCTATTTCATTAGGATTATTGTGAAAATTTAAGTCGTCGTTGAGTCTTTAGCACAGGACCCTGAGGCAAAGAAAGTGCATATTGAATGTTAGTTATTATTGGCCGGGCACAGTGGCTCACACCTGTAATCCAGCACCTTGGGAGGCCGAAGCAGGCGGATCACCCGAGATCAGGAGTTCAAGACCAGCCTGGCCAATGTGGTGAAACCCTGCTCTACTAAAAATATAAAAATTAGCTGGGTGTGATGACGGATGCCTGTAATCTCAGCTCCTCGGGAAGCTGAAGCAGGAGAACTGCTTGAACCCAGGAGGCAGACGTTGCAGTGAGCTGAGATCGCACCATCGTACTCCAGGCTGGGTGACAAGAGCAAAACACGGCCTCAAAAATAAATAAATAAATAGACTAAAGATTAGTTATGATTAACGATGATGATTTTTAACACTATTGTAATTTGATCCTTGGCAAAACAAAGCATCTTTTAATTTTAAGTAGTTCTGTATTTTAAGTTGAAAAAGCTGAGTAATTTATGTTCGTGAGTATCTTTAATTTCAGTGAAAAGAAGTGCACTAATATTAAAGTGGTCATTTTGGGCTCAGTTTTGCTAGTTTTACCAAAAAGCTTGAACTTACCAGTTCGAGTCCCAATCAGTCAGTTAATATCATATTCTCATTCTCATTCTTTGCTCTCCAGTAACATTTCTGTGTGATTTTCATGGTGTTTTAAACAGGAAGAAACATTACCAAGGTCCTCATTGCAAACAGAGGAGAAATTGCCTGCAGGGTGATGCGCACAGCCAGAAAACTGGGTGTACAGTCCGTGGCGGTTTATAGTGAGGCTGACAGGAATTCCATGCATGTAGATATGGTATGTTGTTAAAAACTGGAAGCCACATCTTACAAGTGATCACATTTATTCATTTACTGTGTCAGTATTTTAGTTCTTTATGATGACAGTTGATATTTGCTAATGGTAACAGGGTTGAAGTAGGTAAGTTCAGACTGCTCACTAATAATCCTTGGAACATTTTTCAAATACAGTGTCAGTTGAACTAAGCGGGGTGCTTCGTACAACAGTTGATTTACAGGCGAGGTCTTTATCTCCTTGAGGATTGATTAAAACAGTTCACAGAATGTTACTGATCCACAGACCACACTGAGTAATTCATGTCCGGAGTCCCTGTATACAAGGAGAAACATCCAGGCTCTATTTTTAGCAACTGCTACTTAGTGGCTAAGTGACCTTAGCCAAGTCACTTCATGTTTTGGAGCCTTGCTTCATCTGTAAAGTTATAACTAAAAAGACCCAACTCCCCTGAACTTTGTAAATATTATGAGTGAATTATTACTAGCTTTTTTTTTTTTTTTTTTTTTGACAAGAGTCTCACTCTGTTGCCCAGGCTAGAGTGCAGTGGAGTGTTCTTGGCTCACTGCAACCTCCGCCTCCCAGGTTAAAGTGATTCTCATGCCTCAGCCTCCTGAGTAGCTGGATTACAGACACATGCCACGGTGCCCAGCTAATTATTTGTATTTTTAGTAGACGTGGGGTTTCACCAGGTTGGTCAAATTCTGGCCTCAAGTGATCCACCTACCTCAGCCTTCCAAAGTGCTGGGATTAGGAGCATAAGCCACCACGCCCAGCCTATTAGGTACCAGCTTTTATCCACTAGAAAGAACTGTAACCATGGATGAATTCAGCTGTTGGCCTTCATTATGCCTGCAGCAAGACGCCAAGCACTGGCCCAAATCCATGGTGAGCAGTCTCACCTGGGCTTTCCTCACTGTACAGCAGGCCCATGTGGCTCACTAGCCACTTTTTTTCTCATTCTGTGCAATGACTATTTCAAACCTGTTTCGCTTCATTCCAACCTCCAATTCTCCTCTACCCACCTATTCACAGCAGATGGTCTTGATTTCACAGAGAAAATAAAATTGAGCTTCCTACCACAGAATCTGCTGACTTAGTTATGTCTGTATACATCTCTTCCCATCCAAGGCCAGTGCTCTGGATCGCTTTTATTTTTGTCTTTTTAAGAATTTTCCCAAAATAAGAGAGTAAATTTTGAATGTCTTACCATGAGAAATAACAGGTAAGTGAGATGATGGCTAGGTTAGTTAGCTTGATTCAATCATCACACATTGTATGCATGTGGCAAAACATCATATTGTACCCCATGAATATATACAATTATGATTTGTCAGTTAACATTAATAAAATGTAAAGCAAAACGAGACACTTCTATGTCAAAAAAGAATCTTCATTTTTTAGTGATGTGTCTTCAGCCACTCTCTACTAGGCTAATAATGTCCATGTCCCTAAATTTAGTGGAGTCTCCAGGCCTGAGCTGACTTGACCTCCCAGCAGGATTTAGCACCCTAGTAAACTGCTCCCTTCTTTTAGAAATAAATTCGTCTATGGCTTTCCCAACCTCTTGCCTTCTTGTCTTTTCTCAGTGCACTTTCTCTGGACCCTACCCATCTACCAGACCCTTCTGTTAAAATTCCTTGGGACTTGGTCCTTGACCCCTTTTTCTCAGTGTTTTCTCTTGTTCTGGCTCATTTCACATACTCCTATAGCTTTGAGAAAAACTCCCAAATTTCTATTTCAAGCCCAGACTTTCTTTTGAGCATGATACATCTATATCCAACAGCCCATTCAACTTCTCCACTTTGATATTGTCACAGGTACCAAACTAATGTGACTGAAATTGAACTCATGACCTTTCATCTGTACTGAACCTGCATTTCTTACAGACTTCCCTAACCCCATAGAGGACAACACCACGGCTAAGAAAAACAATAATGGCAGAGATCCAGAAGTCTTTGAACATTTTTCTCTCTTCTTTCCTACTCTAGATCCTTTTCCCTCTCATCTAGTAAATGACCAAGTACCATTAATTCTGTTTCCCAAACATTTCTATCCTCTTCTTTCTACTCCCTCCCACCTGTAACTTAATCACCTACCTACCTACCTTCCTTCCTTCCTTCCTTCCTTCCTTCCTTCCCTCCCTCCCTCCCTCCTTCCTTCCTTCCTTCCCTCCTTTTCTCTCTCTCTCTCTCCCCCCCTTTCTTTCCTTCCTTCCCTCCCTCCCTCCCTCCCTTTCTCTCTCTC